GAGAGAGAGAGAGAGAGAGAGAGAGCGAGAGAGAGAGAGAGAGAGAGTGGGAGAGAGAAAGTCGAGAAGTCGAAAGAAGAGGAGAACGCAGAGGAGGAGCTGGAGCTCATATTGCCAGTTTGTGTTCTAGTTCACAAGTGAAGGCTACACAAAGGAAGATGTCCTTGAGCTAATGACCAGGGACGACCTTGCACGACTTCGTCTCAGGTACCGTATACCAGCGACAAAAATACACGGGAGCGGCGAGCGATTTCGCTCCCGTCAGCTTTCAAAGCGCTCTGATAACAACAATTTACGAGAGCGAACATTTTGGAAGCTACGAGAAAAAATCGCTTTGGCCAAGCTTAAAATAGCTCTCCTAAACAAAATTACGAGAGCTCTTTTTTTCATACAAAATCAAAAAAGAGCTCTCGTAATAAAAAAAGTATTTTTTAGGCTGCCGTATACGCCATATTTTTCGCGTACAGATATTTTCGCGAATTCAGATTTGACGGACAATTTCGCGAGTGGTTAATTTCGCGGTCGGTGAATTATGCATTATTCGGTATTATTCCGTATGAATTATTCGTGTGTTGTTATTTTCGCCGTCGGGGACGCGTTCGCGAAATTCGCGAAAATTAAACCACTGCGAACTATACAGCGTATACAGTAAACAACACTGTTGTTCATGCGCACATCATCCGTAGCAATAATTCATGTGTTTTACTCTTAGTAATCTAATAGATTCTATGTAGCGACTACTGGCAACTCATCATCATCATCATCATCATCGTCGTCGTCGTCGTCATCATCATCATCATCATCATCATCATCATCGTCATCATCATCATCATCATCATCATCATCATCACCATCATCATCATCATCATTATTATAATCATTTTTATCACAGTAACTGCAAGCTTCTTCATGTATGTATTCCGAGCATGTATTGGCAAATGTTGCGTGTTGTAGGGGTGGCTACAACTGTAAGATATGGCGTACAATACTTGAGCATCGCTACCAGGACAAGTGGCTAGAGAACACCATGTACCGACCACCGCCACCTGGCGGTGAGATTAAAGGTGCGCCGGGACACGGTGAACAGCATCCTGGCATGAATCGGCAACGCGCCCAATCACAGTCAGCCATCATGCATCTTCCTCCGCGAGGTGAGATAAATAACGCAACATCTATTGCCACATATATTACCGACATATCAAATTGTATCCTACACATCAAATTGTATGTAAGTCAAATATATATGTACAAGTATGTATTGTAATGGCTGTAACATGTATGTAACATACGTGGAAATAAAGAAATTATTAATAAAAAAATAAAAATAAACGCAACATCTCGGTCTAAAGCATTTGACGCCACTAGGCAGATGTTACTAAGCATAGTCTGTTACTCCTATTACTGATTTACTGGGGCAGATAACATGCAAGTATTAGGAGAATCATTTAAATTATCATACAAGCACCAAAATTGGCACATATATCCACCATGGGCTGCTTATTCATAAAAAAAACGTTAGCCATGCGAAAATCCAAGATGGCCGCCATTTTCCAAGATGGCCGCCATTTTCCAAGATGGCCGCCATTTTCCAAGATGGTCGCCATTTTCCAAGATGGTCGCCATTTTCCAAGATGGCCGCCATTTTCCAAGATGGCCGCCATTTTCCAAGATGGCCGCCATTTCTGGTATGATATTTTATTAAATCTTTATATAACATTTGCTTTAATATTCTACTATTGCTTGTTTTGCGGTTTTCTCTCTCGCCGGGACAGTTCCTGCTTCAGGAGTGAAGCCAGAGAGTCTATCAACGAGAAGGAGAAGTCGCGACGACCCGCCACGCAAGAAACCCGCCGAGCCGTAACTGCAGCTTCCGCGATCAACCCGTCGAGCCGTAACCAAGGCGACTGCGATCTGCCGAGCCGTAACCAAGGCGACAGCGAGCTGTAACCAAGGCGACAGTGAGCTGTAACCAAGGCGACCGTAACCAAGGCGACAGTGAGCTGTAACCAAGGCGACAGCGAGCTGTAACCACGCTCCCGACCGCAATCGCGCCGTCGCGCGGTAGCCGCAGCGATCGACCCGCGGAGTTATAACTTATAACTTAGTAACCATAGTGACAGCGTTCGACGTGCGGAGTCGTAACCATGGCAACCGCGATGGACCCGCCGAGCCGTAACCACGGAAACGAGGATAGACTCGGCGTAGTACCGAGTAACCGTGGCGACCGTCGTTGTAGTGTGGGTGTAATCCGACTCCAGCTCAGATTCACGATTGCTGGTGTCAGCGTGAGGTCCGCAGTCAGCGTAGAATGCACTGGTGCTTGTCCAGTAGATCAGGTATGAATGAATACAGTACACCGGTAGATCAGTTGCTTCTGTGTTAGGCTGCTGTCATCTGTAACCGCTATGTTGACTCGTCTAGCTCAACATGGCGGTGTTGGTCGTTAACTTGACGGTCGTCCGATCACTAGATGGCGCTCCGACCACTAGATGGCGCGCATTTGTTGTTTGCCGTGCAGATGCGCTCGTGAGAATTGCGTGCTAGGTCACCACCCTCGTCAGTGCACGTGTACCAAGTTGTGGGTGATAAAGTACTATATAACAATCATATTCTTTCGCTTGAATCTAGATCAAACAATTTAACTGTATTTGGCGCCCTTACCAATGGGTTCCGTCTCTATGTCAAATTTTCGTCTACCACAAAATAAGCCGAATTTACAAGACCTGTACTAAACACAAGGCGCGACTTAAGAGTCCACTAGAGGTCACTACAGGCTCAAAAGTCATGTGACGGATTTTCCTTAAACTGCGAGGAAACGATTAGCCCGAATATAAATAAATGTTGCTACATGAGTTCTTATGTTTTCTTTTCACCCTAGGGTAACAATAAGGGCAGTCCAGTACAACTATCGAACTATGCAGTCTTGAACGCGGCTAACCCCATGCAGCAAATGGGAATCAGGTGCGAATGAAATTCGTGACATGATGACCACTTCAACTGGGGTAGGGGTACCTCCTTGGCCCGCCGCCGAGGTAACAAAAGCTGCTAAAATCTTGCCAATATTCTAGCCAAATTTAAAAGTCTTTGAACCAATAGATCCTTATTGAAATTTGCTAGGCATACTGATTAACAACACGTATACATGTTACAACCGCCTTTAGGAAAGGTCGACATACATGGCAGTCAAAGCGGAAACAAACACTAAAACCAAAAGAGTACCCGACAACCCACCTACAAACCTGAAATCTGAATGCTCCAACATGACCACGACTTGGACTTGATAGCAGGATGTTGCACTAACCATGATATGAAACCACTACTCAACAAATATGCCAACTGAAATAAGCATATATCATACAAAGATTATCACATGATTTTGGCCATGGATATCAGTTTTAGGTGCGAGTTCAGAGTGCAAATAAACACGAACGAGTGAGCACCATAAAAACCATGTGATGATATTTTTATTTCACTCTGGTGCGATAAGGATGCGATTTCTGTACACTGTGTATAGCGTGATGTGTTGATATCCTGCCACGGGCGTTGTCGACTCTGTCCAACAACAAGCCTGTTTGAGGTGGAACTCACACAATGTCGGCAGAATCAGCAGGACTAGTACCTAGGGTGGAGTGGATTCGAATGCCATGGTCCATTCATGTATACCAACGCCTCACCACGTGTTGTGTTGTACTGCCCAATGATAGATGGATCCCCAACAGCAATCCAGTACACGCCTGTACCCACTGTCATGAAAGAATGTGGAGGCCATGATGGCGAGTTTAGCAGGCAAGACAGCGGTCCATTACACGTCTCGAACCTCGCCCATCCTATGTCAAAGCGCCAAAGAAATTACAATGGCGCCTACCAGAAGAGTTGTCAACATCGTCATTCGCATGGGAGGCTTCCATGTTAGCCAACAACTTCCTATCCCTCCTGCGAAAGAAACCTATGATGGATCGGGAATAGAGGATCTAGCTCCACTGGAATCGGGGAGTAGTAATGGCTAGTGGCACCGCCTCACTGATCCCCAGACACAGATGCTAGCTGTACTGTGTGCCACTCACCCACCTCCTGCCAACAACTATGGTTCCACTTTGTGTTAAGGACAAGCTGAGGTACATCCCCATGCCACAATTTGGCTGCCGAGTTGGGTCCCACAGCTCTGTGATGCATTGCCAGCATTGCCATGCCACTGACCGGATGCGACCTCTAACAGTTCACTGTGGGAATCGGCCACAGAAGAGAAGCCTTCACACACAATAATGTGCTAGTGAGCCTGCAGCCAGGAGAGTGTGATCTCAGCTGGCGCAAAGACACCACCAATGAGTGAAGACACTTAATCTCTGGGTGTGAAGCGTTTGTGGTGCAGTGTATACACAAAGATCACAAAAGCTGGCAGCAAAGCCGATGATGTGAGGTACTGGCTTTTCTGGTCAGAGAGTCAAGAGAATGAGTGTTCGCGACGTCAGACAGCCTCCTCTCAACACCTAAAGCGTTCAAACTACAAACTGTTGTATGGAGGAGGGCCACTGGATGCCAGACAGACTTGCCAACACCGAGCCAACATGCGCTGGAGCATCTCAGATGGTGCTCTGCAACCTGTGCTTGATGACAAAGCGAGCCAGCACAGCGTGGACTGCCGTAATTACGCATGTCCTGCTGTAAGAAGTCAAGCCCTGTGTTCGTGCAGATTGCTCCTGTAAGGGACACAATGGACCTTGCTGCGCTGAAGCCTTGTTATGCATGGACGATGAAAGGCTGCCAGGAACCCAACACACCATGCATACAAAACCAGTAGATGGGCATCTAATGTGGATGACGACGGACGATGAAGATTGATTACATTTAAAGGCCGCACTCGTGAGAGTTGACAGTGTCAGTTCATACTCTAACAGTTTAGTTGACTATGATACTTATTACGTGGACTATAATAATTGAAATTGTATTTGTTTTAATTATAAACACGTTACAGCTTAAACAGACTCAAAACAAAGAGGTTGATGCACATATAATACGAGTGTGTCAAATTACTCTAGTGCTGAGAACTATAACATTCATAGAGCTGACTAAAATTGTCCTATTTCATTCACTATTCCATTCGCTGCATTGGGGTTAGCTTTCAGATTGAATAGTTTATACTTTACTGCGCACTCTTATATGTGGGCACCCTAGGTAAAGAAACATAAGCAAACTCATTGCTAGCAACATTTTATTAAAGTATTTGCATCGCTTTACTGCAGTTTAAGGAAAAATGCCGTCCACGTCGCCCTTTTGACCTGTAGTGACCTGCCTGTAGACCTCTTAATGACAAGTAAGTAGATTAACATTTTCTGTATGTAGCAATTTTCTAAGGACGGAACCATTGTACCAAAACATTAAATTGGTTGACTTATTAGCAAGATATGAGTTGTTATTGTTATTTATACCCCACTTCTTTAACCGGTGTTGCGTCACCCACCTTGTCTATAAAATGGCGGTCTACGGCACAAAACTTGATACCCGAACTTTGAGACTGACATCTATCTGGGGGTTCTAGGGTGTTCTTATGTGATGGGTGTGATGACGAAACGAAAGAATGTCAAGTTCGTGACTCCTGGACATAACGAACAAAACTATTCTGGATTAAGAGAATGGCAATAACACAAATAAAGGCAAGCCAAATAATCAAGGGGGAATAGGAAGGCGGCGCAATTAGACAAAAGAAAACCTAATACGGTTTGTTGCTATCGCAGCGCCGTGGCCAGGGGGTTCGGGGGGTGCTTGTGAAGAACCCCCCCTGCCCCCGAGCCCGGGGGGCCCCCCAAGCCAAAAATATGTATTTTATTGAATTTGCAAGGAATTTTACCTCATTTATAGTGTATAATTGCAAAATCTCCATCGCTGCGAGGTGAACAGTGAAGCACAACTTCCCACACCTCCCCCGCTCGGTTGCTTGGCTCCTCGCCAGGGTGCGCTTCGCCCCGAGCAGGGGGAATGTACAGGGGTGCGTAGGGAGTCGCGGCGACCCCGCACCTTGGGCACAGAAAAGCGCATCTGAGGGGTGGTTAATATTTAAAATTAACATCAGACCCCAGACACCCTCGCCGTGCTCGCAACTTTGGTGTTACTGTTAGGACCCACCGCTGGTACTACCATCCTGTACACGCCCTCGCTCGCCGAGCAAATTGCCCAACATTTGGAAACTGAACCCCGGCGGTCGGTCGCCCCCGCACGCTGCCCCCCCCCCCCCCCCCACCCCACACCACCCCCCCCGCCCCCCCCCCCCCCCCCCCCGCCCCCACCCCCCCCCCCCCCCCCCCCCCCGACCGTGCAGGCGATGTGTCTTTTGGTTTTCTGTGTTTTTTTTTTTTGTGTGTTGGGGGAGGGGGGGAGAAGCCGGCCCCAAGTATAAAGCGGTACGGGCCTGTACGTCGCATATTTGTGCTCGTCATGTCGTAGTGGTTACAAATGGCTGTAAGCCTGGCCCTATCTCGTGGTAGAAACGTATATCCAATCGTTCACATCCCAATATAGAACGCTAGCTGCAGTTTTTTTTATACTTGTTTGTTCCCGTAGTTGTTTTGTAGCTATATGACAGTTGATATAGCAGTTAATAGTTTATAAATTTGTTGCCTAAAATCTTCTTCCATCACGGGCAGTCGATGAGAAGTTAGTTGTAGAGAAACCACAATCAACAAAATAGAGTAGACTTATGTTAGTCAGTGATTGATTAGCTGATTGATTGAATTATTGACTGATCCACTGATTCTCTTGAACAATTGATTGATTATCAGTTGACTATGATTGATTATTTACTCTGAAAATATTTTCGTGATACACTGAATGATTTGATTCCACTGAATGACAATTTGATTTCACTGATTAAGAGTTTAATTGATTGATTTATTAAGCATATTTATACGATTGTTCTACGGTGATTTCACCGAGTCTAGAATGATTAAAAAGCTATCGATCAACACATAAACACATGAAAAAAATGTCAGGGTTTATGGACGATACAACGTTTTCTATAATTTTAAATAGCTCAACAAACAACAGCTTACACTTGCGGGTACGATATTTGTCTTTGCACTAGTGTCAGCCACTGTGCCACTCCCTGGTGTCCCTCACTCATTCGTCACCGTCCATATGACAGCAGGACCGTGTGTGTGCCCCACGGAATTATTTACCCTTCACCTTATAATCATTTTAATCCACGATTCTCTGTGTTCATACGTCCGATACACGTTCACGCTGCGTGTATGCGTGTGCGTTCATATACACTGTGAGTGTGTGTTCAAAATCCGACTTACACGTTCACCTGAGTGTATGCGTGTGCGTCACTATACATGAGGTGGTGTTG